GAGGACATAAAGAAAAGGGCTTTGATAAATGCTGAAAGAGTGAAGTCCACATGGAAGCTAAGAGATTTATGCACGATTATATAAAGAAATAATTTAGGTTTATTTGAAAAAAAAAATAAGAGGCCATGGAGGGACCAATAAAGTGAACTTGGAGGCCTTGGTACAATGCAAGAGAAAGAAACTAACTGAGGGTAATGTGAATGTCTAAAATGTCAAGTAGGATTAGACCTGTGATAAGATTACATCAAACTAGAAAGTATTTTTGGTCAAGATTACAATAGATTAACTTTATACAAAGCTTATAACGAAATAGTTTACTAGAAAAGAGAGCATATGTAAATCAGTTGAAATGACTCTATATAATAAGGTCTTAATTTCGGGATAATAGAAGAAGTTTTTTTAGATAAATATTAAGTAAATTTGTTTTAGAAAAGGACAAAATTAAAGGTAAACATAAAACGTATATCTCCAAAAAGTATTCCTCCTTCAGCTATAAGGCATTAATAGTGCAGCTGGAAGGAATTCTTACAAGTTTTACATAGCCATTGCTATACCTAATAGAAGAAAAACTTTTCTGTTGCCAATCTGGATTAAAGCAGTGTGTGAAATCTTGGATCTTGCACCCAGCACTGGAACTTTCGCCAGTGGCAAACGGTGAAACTGTGCGCCGTTCTGCTGTATCTGTACCTGTATCTGTATCTGTATCTGAAGCTAATTGCTGGCAACTATGGTTATTGTCTGGCGTTTCCTCTCTCGATGGGCAACTACTGTTCTGCTGGCACACATGCACACACACACACACACACACATGCAAAAGAAAAATGCATATGAAACAATAAAGCGAATTTTGTATGTGTATGTGTGTGTGTGTGCGTGTGTGGCCTTTTCCCCTGGCTTTTGTGGGGCTTGAAAATGCGCTCAGCTTTTCAACAAACTGGGCGCCATTGTGCGCGTTTGGCCAGAGCCAAGTTTGGATACGGCTACGGTTCCCTGGCTGCCATCCATGGGCCATTGTCACTCTTTGGTGCGTTTCATGCAGCCAACCATGCGACGAGCCCAACAACAATACAATGAAATCAAGTCAAGTCTCGTCGAAAATGTTAATATGCCCGCTTTGCTGCCTCGACTGAATCTGGGATTGGGATTGCAACTAGAACGGCAACAGGAACGGGCAGGGGAACGGGAACGGGAATGGGAACGGGGGCCGGCACTTTGCATATTACAAAGATAGAAATGACATTTTTGGCATCGCCGTTGTCGCTTTTCTTGGCACATTGCGCAAATCATCTCGCGAAAAATGAAGCAACAGCAAAGACAAAATTAAGTTAAGACTTCAACCAAGATAAGCTGCGACAAAGACAAACGGTGTTAAGTGTGCAACAAAGTGACAAAGGAGGACGCATAAAAGATCGTACAAAAATGAATGTACTCGAGCCAGCCCGGAGAACATGAGCTTAAGCAATCGAAGACATTTGTATTTGCAACAGATTAAAGCGGAGCACAGTTTGAAGTTATTTATCAGGATAACAAAATGTAGTCACAAAATGTTTCAAGCATTTTTATTTATCGAGGCTGCAAACAGGATTGAAATCGGATTTTCTATTTTTATTTATTTTACTTTATTTGCCTTGAAACGACAATTAAACGAATGACGAAAAGCTGAAGTTATCAGTTATCAAGTTATCGAACTACCGATAACGTTCTTGGGCTGGCATCCTTAATATAGAAAATAGATTAGCATAAATAAGAATCGTAGTAAACGTATTTTAATAGAAACTCTCGCAGGGTCTGTTGGTTCTTCTCCTGCATGTTATGTAGGTTGGCATCGGGCGAGTCGGAAAATCTCCCTACCACATCGTATAGTTTCATTAAAATAAGTTATTCCCTTTTATAAAAACCAGCTCAGAGAATAAAAATTTTGAAATAATCTACAACTGACTTTAGAAAACAGACTATTTAAATAGATTAGTCTATACTATTCTATTCTACACTGGATTATCTCATCGAATTTTGAACCCGATTGAATTCTGGAAACCCTGTAAAGAAAAGTATAGGGTTGTCAAAGTCTTCTATTCTTAGGCATCTCAAAGCCGTATATAGTATGATATGTGGCAATAAGCCTCACCGAAGCTAATTTTTGATGACTTTGTTCCACTTGGGGAGCGAGCCAGCGTCCAGTGAGGAGGCAGTGCCACTTTGGGGCTTTACGACTGTCATAACGACCATAACCTGGACTGCAGCTCCATGAAATACACACACATACACACACGCACACATGTATATATTGTGGCGGAGGTTTATCATCTATCAGCGTCACTCGCGCCTCAACTAGTCATAAATTTAAACGCCAGACGCGGGCGCTTTTTACGAGTCCAAGCCCCGCCTCGCCTGGCTCCGCATCTATAGCTGCGGCTGCAAGTATCTGTATCTGTATTTGTATCTGTATCTGTAGCTGTGCAAGTTGCTGGCGCACCCGTTTGTAGTGCGTACTCTGGGCTTTAGTTTTATTTTATTTTTATTTTTAGTTTTTTTTTTGTTTGTTTTGTTTTGTTTTTTTTTTTTTGTTTTGGGTCTTCAGCACACCACCCAGCGGCTGGGAGTGCCCTGGTCTGGCCGCCTTGATGATCATAATTTCCAATTTTATGGCACTGAACAACTATCTACCATCTCCTATCAGCTCGTATGTGAGTGTGTGTGCACATGGGCGAAAGTTTTAGCCGTAGAGTCAAGCGTTTTTATGGTGGCAATTTTGTGCGCTTTACACTTGATGCATCTGCGCTGCGCTGTTAACCGGACCATTGCCATCAGAAATGCTGGTTAAGTCTTTAGTTTATGGATCACAGAAATTACTTAAAGAGCCACTTACGTCATGTTGGACTAAACCAAAGAACTGATACAAAAACCAGGCGACAACATATTAATCAAAAGTTAAAAAGGCTAATTAAGAATCGTATATCATATGTATTAGGACTTAGGAGACCAGCCGATGGGTCGCAGTGCTTCGTGAACCGTGTTCAGTTCACAAGAAATTATATTTATATATCTTTCTATATTTAAAGTACCTGGGACTACTTCGACTGCATCGACTTGGCTATTGATACGGATCAGGAATATAGATTCTTGGGCATAAGATCACACTCAAGAGTCTAACAAAATGTATATAGCCAAGTGATATGATGCTTCGATGCGGTTGGCTTCTTAGCTCTAGATTAGCCAGACAGTCAGATTGGCATTTTGTTAGAGTACATGTTTGATTTGATTATTAAAATAGAATTTTATAATATTTGCGCCTGTCATGAATATGCAAATTGCTGATGAAATTAAATGTGTTGAATGTGTAAGCATATTGCCAATTAAATGTTTATTAAATATGTATATTCAAATTTGCAACTTTGCCTGCGACACGTAGCTGCAGTCACGTACCCAAAGCGATCCGCGTCGGGAACAGGCCTTGTGGCACCCCCCTCACCCACTCACCAGCCGTTAAATCACAAATATGACGACAGACACGTTGACCAAATGACACGGACACGGACACGCACACGAGGCGAGACGGTGTCAGGGTCCCAGGTAGGGGTCGAAGCGTCACAGTTCTCTTCGTACCCGGATAAGCTGTGACGTAACGAACCGGGAAGACGGCAACGAGCTCACGTGCGGCATTCATATACCAATCAAAGCCGGTCATCAGCACTCTCAAACGTGGTCCAAAATCACGTGAGGCTGGGTTATTGCTGACGCAGGCACTAATTGTCTTTAGGCAGCTTGGAGAAACGTGCAGTTGAATGCTTTTCGAGTAAATAAGTCGATCATAGGCCACGTATTCTTATTATTACCTTCTCAGCATCTGTTTGGTGTATTCATTTCATTTAAAATGAAACTTTCAGAAAACTACAATATTTGTAAAATACTATTTCATGAAAATCGCATAGAGAGGCATTTAATTTGGAGAAAGGTGCCCTACTTTGAATTAACAAATGCATGTGTAATGATTATGTATATATGTACTTACCCAAAAGCTCAGGTTATTTTAATTAGCTGCCATCTTTTAGTAGGAGAGAGACTTTAATTAATCCAAATTACTGAAAGAAACAAAGAGGCCGAGAATAAGTTTATTGGGTAGGAGTAAAAAAATAGGAGTAAAGTATGAGTGGAAGAGACAAAGAGGGAGCGAAAGAGGAAGAGTATCATTATCAGCACAACTGCTTTAACCAAATCATGAAAACCTGCAGGACTTACTTGAATTCATGAGAATCGCATAGTAGGGCAGCAGATGGAGTTATCAAAAGATTCAAAGCTAATTTAGTTTGCGTTAGTATAAGAGAACATTCATACATGTGCATGTACATGTACATATGCTATGTGAACAAGTAGTATATATTTTTTCATGTGGTCCAACTGACTTATAATTATCTGTCAAAACAAGTAATAAAAGAAGCAAATTGTTTGTTATTATCACTAGTCCGGCAATTAATTCCAGTTTAAACAGATCCCCAGATGATAATCATCTTTGTTTCGTTATCGTTCTGACGTTTTGTTATTTACCCGACGATTACAATTCGATTTAATATTATTTTTTACTCTTTTTTTGCTATTAACTATAAAAACAACTAATTATCAAACAATTAATGCCATTAGCTTAGATAACACTTGAAGACTCAGGGGAGGAGCAGCTGTGATCAATATGATTTATATATGGTATATTCAATTATCATGACACGGCCACTGACGCGCATCGTAAATCGTGCGAAAATCGGAAATTTATATATTATATATATACATATACACATACATATATTTTGTTTTCTTGTTGTTCGATTCTTTCGCAGCGTATCAAAATCCTCGAAACGTCGCGTCGCAGCGCGTCGTCTTTTGCGTCAGCATTTTGGCTGCTTGTAAGTAAACAAAATAAAATATCAATTCTTCTGTATAAGTATAGTATACCGTACTAATTTGTGTATTTACTTCAACTACGTACATATGTAAATATCGTCGAGTTTGTCTGATTTAACGATTTTATTGTGTTTGCACAAAAATGTTGGAAAGGTCTGGGAATGGAGTTACGTTCAATTGCGGAAATGTTTATAATAATAAAGGGGTCCGGTTCAGCCGGATCCGAAATATATAGTGCCTGCAACAGAAACACGAACGAACTGATATAAAATTCCATTTAGGTAGCTGTTAATCGTATTTAGTGAGCCAATCTTTTGCTTCTTTCATATTCGCTTTAATATTATTTAATTCTAATTTAGCTAATTCATATTATCTTTATTACCTGAATATGAGTACATAGCTTTTGTGCAAAAATATGTAACGGGCAGCATCTGCGGAAGACGAGACGATTTTGACTCTACCCACTGACTTACTTGTTTTTTTTAGCATAAGAATTTTTGCAAAAAAGAATGAATCGATTTTGGAATTTGGCTTCGATTAAAATGAGTTGATAACGAGGTGCAATCTATCAACAGTTCAATGAAGGTCAGTTAAAGCCTGATCTCTGCCTCTTGTTTATTTAATTTGACTTCCTGACCTACTGATAATAGTTTAAGAGTTACCGAAATATTGGACACCCGAGTTTCCAATTCATTGCCACATTTCAGTCTACTTACGTGCGTGCTGAGTGCAGTTGAGATTCGCATTTTAATTTGAAAGTCAAAGTGCTATCAAAATGAAATGTGTTATGTTTATATATATTCTATTTACAAACCTTATACTGATCATAGCTAAAACAGAGTTTAACGAAAACGAGGTAAAAGACACATTATTTATTAATTTGTGTGTGCACTGCAAAAAATAAATCATACTTTTTTATAAGTCTTGTTCGGTAACCAGAATAGCAGAGGAGGAATGTGGAAAGTACACCTATAAATCTGTGAGACCATTATTAAAGTTCATACATCAGATGAAGGATGAAATTGAGAACAATAACAATAAAGTTGAAGGCAAAGACAGAGAAATCAAGCAACTGCAGGAAAAGCTTAACCAACGTAATGAATTGGTCATCGAGGAACTGAGAGCTCAGAATGACTTCTACAAACAGACTATCAAAGAGCTAACGAGCAACGTCTTATTGATAAAAGAAGAAATGGGTAAACTCACTTCCAATGCCTTTAAAATCAAAGAAGATCCTAAGAAGACAATTAATGAAAAGGACCAACGAATAACCGAAATCAAGAACGAAATCAGCTACTTTGCCAAGAAATTAAAAAACTACGAAGAGAAGATCGTTTACAGTGAATGCACCGACATTGCTGATGCTCCGGGTATTCGTAAGATTAAACCGGATCATCAAGATCCGTTCAATATACTATGTGATAGTGCGACGGCGGGTCCTGGCTGGATGGTTATTCAACAGCGAATCAATGGCAAGGAAAATTTCTTTAGGAAATGGGTTACATACCGTCAAGGGTTTGGTGCCTTTGATGGTGACTTCTTCTTAGGACTTGAGAAAATTCATCGCTTGACGAGCGCCCGTCCCCATGAGCTTTACATACATATGGAACAATTTGATGGTATCATCAAATACTACAGATATGAGCAATTTGCTATCGCTGGCGAGGTAGATCAATACAAACTAATCACCTTGGGTAAAGCTGAGGGCAATGCAACAGACGATTACTTGGCTCACCACAGAAATATGAAATTCACGACATACGATCGCGATAATGATGCTTGGAATGATGGCAACTGCGCAAGCAATCATCGTGGTGCCTGGTGGTACAGTTACTGTGCAGCTAGGTATGAATTGTCAGAAGAAACCCAAAATTAAATATAACTGCATCGTTTTTATTTTAGCAATTTAAATGGCAAATACTATAATTATAAGAAGCAAGGAGCTGATGCCATTTTTTGGGATACCTATGAGTCTTTGAAAAAAGTCAAAATGCTTATAAGAGCCAAAGGGCTTGGTAAATTGTAATAGTTTTATTTCAAAACATATACAATACTTTGAAAAGTACGATATTCTAACAAACTTCATTATTCAATTGTGTACTATATCAATGGAATCAGTGCGATAAGCCCGAGAGAAACTATATTAAAGAAAAAAGTTATATAAAAAAGTAAATAATGTATGCTAGTATATTGAATATTAAGTATTTCTGTCAATATATTAATTTGTCAATCTAATATTTCGTCAAATCAATCATGAGTCCGTCAATAAATCAATTCTTCAATCCAGAAATCTTTCAATGTGTCCATCTTTCATTTAATCAATCCATCAATTCTTTAATCCATAACTCGTCAATCGTTACGCCAAACTATCAATCCACCAATATGTCAATTCATTTCTCAATCCGTTCGTCCGTTTAGTAGATCCATTAAGTTGTTAATCCATCTATTCGTCAATCCGTCAATCTGATATTTCGTCAATTCATAAATCAGTCAAGCCGTCCATCAATCTGTTAATTCATAAATCTGGCAATCCATCAATCCGTCCTCTCATCCCTCTATAAAATACATCAAGCACTCAGTTCAATCCGATAATCGTTCAATATTTCAATCCCTCAATTCCACAATCTATCACTCCTTCAATCTTTTTATTAACCTATCAATCCGCTGATCACTATATAAAATCGTCAATATCTGAGTCCGCCAATCTGAAATTAAGCAGCATACGATCAATGGGGGTATGAACTCATCAAATCCACAGACCAGCGCAAATGTATCTGTACTAGTATCTGAGGCCAACGGCGACAAACGCAAAGGTTAACGTATCTTTGTGGCGCCTATGCAAATGCGGCGGCTGCTACTTTCATTTTGCTGCGTCTGATAAACCAAAAGCCAAAAACCAAAAACGTGCGATTGCTGCAATCGAGCGACAGACCAACAGACCGACAGCCAGCCGCCGACTTTGGCTGTCGTCAAGAGCCGCCAGCAAAATGTATGCACAAATACGCGTGCATGCGTATACATATATATTTACATATGCATGCGCATATCTACATATGTATTTGTACGTGAGTAATTGACATTCATTTCCTCCTTGGCGTCAGCGTTGCCGTCGACGCGTAATTTCACGACGCGCCAGCGCCGACGTCACAGATTCAAAGCAGAAGACAAAGGCGAAAACTGAGCGCAGTGAGTCGTTGAAGTTTGCTGTTGCCAAGCGGCAGCAGCGGCGGCAACAACAACCAAATGAAACTCCGATCATCATTTCGCAGTCGCCGTCGGCGTTGCCTTTACCGCTTAGCAACCACCAACTAAATTAAGCAAACATCAAGTCAGGCAAAGTCAATTTGGAACAATGTAAACGAAGCATTTGTAGCGATTTCCCAAGATCGCCAAATTACATTGCTTTATTATCAAATTCGTAGTGATGTAGGGTATCTACTGATGCAGCCACAGAGGAATCGAGAAATTTGTGGCGGATTTTAGAAGAATCGCTTAATCGAATCGTAGCGTTATCAAGCCCGCGAGCATAATAAGTACCAAAACATTTTATAATTGCTATAGGGTATCTTCGAGTCGAATACTTACAGCGGCTCTATGCGAAACCACCGCAACGCTTCAGTTAATCGAAAGAGTAGCTAAAACGTAAGCAACCACAGCAACAATACAGAGTTGCCCATCGGCCACTGGCGACGTCGTCATTTGAATGACAAGAGCCAATTCCACTTCTCTAATGCACGACTGTTGCCATGCGCCGCTGGCGGAATGGAATAGGTCGGTAGGCGAGGGGTAGAGGGTTGCATCAGTCGCAGACATTGTTAATTCATTGTCGTTGCCATTGTTTATACAAAAATTAAAAAGCTACCTTGCAAATGCAGTAGAAAATGTTTGGCAAAGCTTGTCGAATTTTTAAGCTTAACTTAATTTTATTTTCAGCTCTAAATTGATTAGCAGCAATTAATTTTACAGCTAATTCAATTACTAAAATGGGCCAACAATTAGTTATTAGGAGTATATTACCCAACTATATTTCTCGTTTTCGGGATAATATATACAAGACTTTTATTTTCTGATATAAAAACTGCGGAACTTTTCGGGTGGAGCCATCCGAGCTATTCATCATAAAACAGAAAAATATTCATCAATATCAGCTTAATCGAAACTCTTTCGTTTCAAAGTTCTTGCTAATCGCACTTGGAACTGCCGTCGTCAATCGCCTCATTGTGGCTACGTGACAGTCGCAATGAATTTAGTTAAGCCCGAGGCAAGGGTGACTCATCCAAGTCCCAGCGATAGCAACTGAGCGATAGGTGACTAGACAGACAGACAAACTAAATTATATGCGACCAAAATTAAGAGAGAACAGCTATCTTTCGTAGTGCCGAAAATACAAACCCTAGAACACATTTTAATTAAATTGCGTAGATGAATGTGTGTACGATACTGAACCTAGGCTGATAATAAAAAACAGAAACTCTATCATCTGTAAGAAAGAGGATTTTCCAGAAATACAGATACAAATACAGATACAGATACAGATACAGATACAGATACAGATACAGATACAGATACAGATACAGATACAGATACAGATACAGATACAGATACAGATACAGATACAGATACAGATACAGATACAGATACAGATACAGATACAGATACAGATACAGATACAGATACAGATACAGATACAGATACAGATACAGATACAGATACAGATACAGATACAGATACAGATACAGATACAGATACAGATACAGATACAGATACAGATACAGATACAGATACAGATACAGATACAGATACAGATACAGATACAGATACAGATACAGATACAGATACAGATACAGATACAGATACAGATACAGATACAGATACAGATACAGATACAGATACAGATACAGATACAGATACAGATACAGATACAGATACAGATACAGATACAGATACAGATACAGATACAGATACAGATACAGATACAGATACAGATACAGATACAGATACAGATACAGATACAGATACAGATACAGATACAGATACAGATACAGATACAGATACAGATACAGATACAGATACAGATACAGATACAGATACTACTGCACTGGGATCAGTAAAGATCATAAAAACAATTGCATATCTCTATATGAGACGTGAGGTTAAAATCCTCTGCAGTCACTAGACAAATAAACAGGCACATAAAATAAAAAACAAAAAGAAGAAAATAACATACAAATTGGGAACAACAAAATATAGCAAAGTAGAAACAGAGATAAAGCGCAGAGCTGGCAAGTGACGAGAGGCAGCAGAAAAAGAATTTGAACTACTCGCAGAATGGAAAACAGAAAAACAAAATTTGCATTGCTGACGCACTTTTCTTGTTTTTCTCTGAATTTATCGTATCTTAACACATTTTTACCTTCTGTTTGTTTTGACGGAAATCTGTTATTTTATGCAAAAAGAAAAAAAAATGATCTAATGGCCAATGCGGCCACATCGCTACACACGGCAACTGACAACCGATTGGCAATTAAGTGGGTCGACGTTGCCAAATGGCAATCATATATGCTTGTACAATGGGGCAAAACAGAATAACTGTGCACACATCAATTTCTTCTTAAAAATGGTATGAATGCCGAATCAAACTGATTCGAGTTAAACACATAACATGAAATTAATTTAAAGCAAATAAAAGAAGCAATATCTTAAATAATTTAATTAATACAATTTATAATCATTTTATTATTATCATTATTACCATTATTATTATTATTATTATTATTATTATTATTATTATTATTATTATTATTGTTATTATTATTATTATTATTATTATTATTATTATTATTATTATTATTATTATTATTATTGTTATTATTATTATTATTATTATTATTATTATTATTATTATTATTATTATTATTATTATTATTCTTATTAGCATTTTATATAATTTAATTAATACAATTGATAATCATTTTATTATTATCATTATTACTATTATTATTATTATTATTATTATTATTATTATTATTATTATTATTATTATTATTGTTATTATTATTATTATTATTATTATTATTATTATTATTATTATTATTATTATTATTATTATAATTATTAGCATTTTACTAGATGTATAATGCTTAACTCCTTTTAGCCGTAGGATTCCAAGGACTGGGACATTTTCAGATACAATTTGTCATAAGATGCATGTTGAATTTTAATGATTTTTTTGATATTATTATTTGATATTCCACAATCTTTTCTGCTTTCCTGTTGGTATACATATAGTATGTGCTTATTCGACTTATTTAACAAGTAGTTCATTGAAAATATTTGTAAAATATCCTACTTAATGGGGAGTCTTGTTATGTTTCCAACGAATTACAGTGCTAAAAATGTGACTTACAGGCGGTAACTCATATTTATCTATAGAATATGCAAAGTCTCCAGTGCGCCAGCAACAGCGGGACACTTGTGGCATACAACCAAATGTAGCAAAAAAAAAAAATATGTGAAAATAAATGTATCTGGGCCCTTGCCAAACTTATAATTACCTGACATTGCGCACCGTGGGGGTTGTCAGAGGAGAGCATCTGGAAATGAGTCTACGAAAAATACTAGTTGGCTGACCCCACGCAGTGTTCATCAAATTTCCACTTTGCTGGCGGGCAGTCCAACAAATTTTTAATATAAATACATACATACATACTCATATGAAATTGCAAAATCTGCTTTTGTGTAGCTTTGAGATACAATTGGTTGTGTTTACATTCAGTTGATCACATGCACGTCAATTGCACTCGACACGCTCTGAGCTGTTATTGGCATACTTTATCTTTTCGGACATTGTTGTTATGCGACCAAAAAAATTTCAAATGATACGAGGTGAATCTTAAAACTTGAATCTAGACTAGACTTCAGGCTTGCCGAGCTTCAATCTTAAAATAAAGCGACCTTAAAGCTTTAATGGGCTTTTTAACCCTGCTTAACTGCTTGTGTTTTGATCTTTTTCTAATAACATGCAAATGCTTGCAATGTTTCCTTTTGCAATATAAACTATTAAATATAATCAACATATTTCTGTTAGTCCAACTGAGATTAATTCTGCAACAAGAGCTTTTCATTTTGCAGCTAAATCGTATTTTGAATACTAGAAACATTTTCGAACTACACAATAGGCAATTTTGATATTTGACAAATTGACTTTGCAAATTTGTAGTTCAAGTGGATTCAAGATTATAAATTTTGCATCTGTTTTCTAAGTACTGTACTTAGTTCCCGTCTGACGATGCCTTTATTTATATGTGATTTACGAAAATTTCGATGTACATGTACATATTTGATTATTTTTGGCCCAGCTGATTTGTTGGTTTGTAAAAGTTCTTATTTATGCCAAGTCAAAACAAATATTTCAGCAACCCGTTGCCGCAATTTTCGATTTTGTTTCAAGGTCAATGCAAAACAAATGTCGAACTGACCAACCAACCGACAGACAAATCGCCAATGCGACTGATGATGTGGCCATATTGCGATTATCTTAGGGCATCCAAAAATAAGAAATACCTTCGCCCCATGGCACGCGCCCCTGTCCGAGTCCGAGTCCGAATCGCAAGTACCAAAATTGATGTCCGCCGCGGTTGACGTCAGCGCACGGCGGACGCGAGTCAAGCAAATAAATAAATAAGAATTTTAAATAAATAAACAGGGTAGCCGAAAATCAATTTGTCTGCCAGTTGTCGTTACAGGGCGCTCAATAACCGGTGGGGGAGCCAGTCCGGCGCTTAGAGCCAGTGGAACCAATGGAAACAACGGAATCAATTCGTTTGTTTGCCACTATTCAATATTTGCTTAAGAACTCAGCGCGATTCGCGGATTCGCATGTGCGATAAGCGAAAATCATCAATAAATATGCATATACATACATATATAAGCATACTCTTACAGAGGCATTATGACTTTGCCAACTCATTTGTAACGTTTTATTCGAGGCTGAACCGAATCAGTTCAAGCCCGGAATGTCCATTTATACTTTGCTGGGACAGATAAGTTTATTATATACTCTCTAGAAACAATAATTAGCGCTGCATTTCGCGTGTTTCGTCGACATTATAAATCGATTTTATATTATGTAAACTATTCATGGACTCAGCTTCAGATGAAGCAAAAGCTAATGAACTTTACTACTTGCAATCTTTAAACAGTTGAACCAAGAGTCCGTGCGCTATGCTTTCTTCAGTTCCTAACCTACCGCTTCTCGCTTATCATTTCATCAGAAAAGTTGTGGGCCCTAGCCTTCAATTGATTTCCATATTTCAGTCTATTTTTGAGTTAAGCCCAGAGGAGTGCAGCTGAGTGACCATTCCAGTGCAATACAATGAAATGCATTCTGCTTCTATATGTTCTATATATAGGCCTAACACTGATTATAGCTGAAGCAGAGTTGAACGAAAATGAGGTAGTATTTGATATCCATGTCCAATGCAGAAATTAAATCCTACTTTTTTATAAGTCTTGTTCGGCAACCAGAACAGCAGAGGAGGAATGTGGAAAGTACACCTATAAATCTGTGAGACCATTATTAAAGTACATACATCAGATGAAGGAGGAAATTGAAAACAATAACAATAAAGTTGAAGGCAAAGACAGAGAAATCAAGCAACTGCAGGAAAAGCTTAACCAACGTAATGAATTGGTCATCGAGGATCTGAGAGCTCAGAATGACTTCTACAAACAGACTATCAAAGAGCTAACGAGCAACGTCTTATTGATAAAAGAAGAAATGGCTAAACTCACTTCCAATGCCTTTAAAATCCAAGACCATGAAAAGCAGCTGGAGAAAAAAATGAAGACAATTAATGAAAAGGACCAACGAATAACCAAAATCAAGAACGAAATCAGCAACTGTGCCAAGAAATTAAAAAGCTGCGAAGAGCAACCTGTTTGCAGTGATTGTAGTCATTTTGCAAATGCTCCGGGTATTCATAAAATTATTCCCAATAATGATCCGTTCGACGTACTTTGCGACAGTGCGACAGCAGGTCCTGGCTGGACGGTTATCCAGCAGCGAATCAATGGTAAGGAGGATTTCGATAGGAATTGGGCGACATATCGTGCCGGCTTTGGTAACTTTGATAATGACTTCTTCTTGGGGCTCGAGAAAATTCATCGATTGACGAGCACCCAGCCCCATGAGCTGTACATACATATGGAAGGATTTGATGGGATCATCAAATACTATAGATATGAAGAGTTTGCTATCGCTGGCGAGGCTGATCAATACAGACTGATCACCTTGGGCAAAGGGGAGGGCAATGCAACAGGCGATTCTCTGCGTTATCATCTAAATGAGAAATTCACCACATACGATCGTGATAATGATTCGCATGATTATGTCAACTGTGCAATCTATCATGGTGGTGGTTGGTGGCACAAAAATTGTTCATACAGGTATTGCTTCAATTCAATCACAATAATTAAATTTTAATTACTTTTATGTTTCCAGCAATTTAAATGGCAAATACTATGATCATAATGTGCAGAAAAAAGATGCAATTTATTTTGAGGGGATAGTCTCTTTGAAAAAAGTCAAAATGTTGATACGCCCCAAAGCAAATCGCAATAACTAAAATGTAAATATAAATATATATAAATAATGTAAAGCTAAATTTTCTAGTTATTTCAATATTATCGTAGGTGTCATAAATTTATAAATTTTTAAATAAATTAAAAAGCAGCAATTATCAATTTAAAAACAATGTCTAATACCTTAAAATCTGATGCGCTATGAAACAAGCAACATTTTTAACTTTTATATAAGTTGGATACAAGAACTAATGGAAGTCTTGAATGTGCCTCTCAGTAAGTCTCCTCTAGGTCTCTGTCTAGGCCAGTTGATCAGTAGGATAAGTGAAAGGGCAGATACAATGCTAAATAACACTAATTCAGAGTCTTCATAAAAGCTGTTCATGCTGCATTGCCTAGAGTAAAAAGCTGAGATGCTAGAAGAGGAATATCCGTACGTAGCTATATTGACTCAGTTTTTGGTACTGATCAAGAATATATATATCTTATGGGTTCGGTGCGTTACACAATTCATGACAAAACGATAGATGCCTTTAGAAGGGTATCTAAATGTGCTTTAAATATGATTGATTTGTTCAGAATGGGGGCTGCTGCTGTAAAGCTGGCACAAATATTTTTGTTGGCAAGTCTATTTGAGCTTCGGCACGTCGCTGATACCTGTTAGTTCTAGCCTTTATTTTGACAATTTGATTTATAACCTTGGCCAACGAGTAAACAAAGAGCGAGGCACATTGCCTTGTTGTCATAGGCAATATTTATTTAGTTTCTATTTCTATGATTTTAATGAAAAGCTTCTTCGTATATTTAAATACGCCAAGTAAATATTTGCGACCATAAATCAAAAGTGAGCAGCTGCGACCCACAAATAGTAAATTCAAAATTCTATTCTATTTCATACTATTATGTTCACTGCTATTTTATTTCATTCTATTTTATTATTTTCTATTTGTTTAAAGTTTGGAGTATTTAATTGTACAGTGTTCGGTGTCAGGGCAAATTGTTCCCAGTTTGTTTACGCTTTCTGCCAATTTCCAGAGAATTCTGGTTTTCAGTTATGTATATTTAGCTGCAAGTATTTAGAACTGTCTTATTTGAATATACAATAATTGAAAATACACAAATATTTGTATATTGTCATAATAGTCAAATATTTTATACATAAAGAGTTCAAGTAAGGGTGTGAGTGTGGGCTGAATGTGCGAATGCAGATGAAGACAGAAGAAGGGAGAAAGGAAACATATTTTCAATGTGGGGCTTTACATCTTAGAAAATGGCAGTCTTAGAAAATGGCAGTCACAGTCATCAAATGCTTATATTAGGTGTACGTAATTTAATTAAGAGCACTTACGTATTATTTGTTGTAGGTATTTAAAGCACATTAATGGAGATTTGTTTCGTGAGTAAATTAATCATTCAAAATTACAATTAGAGCTGTTAATAAGCGGACTAAGCAGGCATAGGAAAGGGTATTAGTTTCAGAGAACCTTGTTGTTAAGCCAAACAACTTTTATTACAAGATGGAGCCAACCATAACTTGTGCTTGCTTTATCATTTTATATATATATTTGGTACTAACAATGTTAATTTAAATGGCCCATTATTTGAGAAAAGCTTTCGATTTTGTGCCTAGTTTTGAGTCGTTTCGGGTTTCTCAAAGATGCACTTATTCAATCGCCGCTGATGAAGAGGAAATGTGTTTAGATAACTTTTCGCAAAGTCGAAGAAACAGCTTTTGCCTAATGCTTCAGCTTCATTTCGAACAATTCCAGCATTCTTATTAGACTCTCTCAGCTTAAGGAACGCCGTCATCGCTTTAGCACCACAAATTACGCCAGGCTTAAGTTCGTCATCTGCGTCAGATTTGCAAGCAGTATTAATCTTTTCGCTGTTTGTCTTGATGTTTTCGATGATAGTGTAGAACTGTTTGGCCTTTTCGGAGTTTCTGTTGTCCTCGCTGCACATCAAGACCGCATTCTCAAAGTCCTCGCTGGCGTCACGAATCGCTTGGGCAGCTTCGACCGTACATTTCAGGGAATGATACGGCTTTATAAACGCTTTAACCAGACAAGTTAAATTCGGCTCCTCCTCACAGGATTTATCTGCACTGGCACCCAATTCTATCAAGCTGCATACAACCAGCACAACGATTGCTTTTGATACCATTTTGTAGCTTCAACTGGAATGGATCCAGCAGAGCGATGCTGCCTCTATTTGAAGACTTAATGGCTTCCGTATATTATGTAATTAACCGGTCTTAATAGCCGCTTTTTAATTTAAAGAAGCTCATCTAATTGCATTATATTCACTTTATATGAAATTGAGGCCAGACTCATGATTCAGATCGTGCCAAAAACCTTCCCAAAAATCGATCGAATTAGATTTTCGGCTTGTGCTTAAAGCCCAAAAATGTTCAGATTCTTTTGCTTACTATTGTTATAAAGGCAGGTTCGGGCACTTTGTATTCATATCAATCTGACAGGCTTTCTCGAACGAGCACCAGAAACATCTGCGCCTCGGTAACTTTTATAAGCAGGCATCTTACATTATAAATATTAAAGAGCCCTAAGTGCTCGCAGATGTCCCTTTCTGTGCGCTACACATTTTCTTACATATATATAATACTCAATGATAGTGTATAAGAGAGTAGTTTATGAAAGATCTGGACGGAATGAAAGGAGCTAGATTTAATATGGCCTTAGCTTTATATATGTGATGCATTCGCTGGGATCTAAGCATTCTAACAACAACAGACTCCGTTACACACTTAGAACTGTTTAATCTGGCTTGTTGACTCTAAAACTGTGACATAGAGCAGTGACATTTAAACTGTGACTAGGAAATATTTTCGCAAATTTTCGTGGTGGAAAAACCAACAAATTTATATCTTCCAGCTTTAATACAGAGACAAACGGACAGACTGCAAGTCTACGAATAAACAAATATACGAATGTAAACTTTTTTAAATTCAGGTGAAGGCAATAAGGGATAAAGGCAGAGTATTTTCATTGTGAGGCTTTAAATTCTTATATGTTCAATTGTGTAATGGATAAATTTATAAAACATTACGAGCTTACATATTTGGAAGGCAGTTACTTATCAAGTTTAAAAACAAGCTTCCAAGCTAAAACAATTATAAAATACTTATAATAAGTATACGTAATTGAATTATTATGGCATAGTAAAGGGATTAAGTGCAGAGAAATTGGCATAACCGAATTGTTAGGCCAAACAACTTTTAATAAAAAGCTTGTTAATATAAGTTTATATATATTTGGTATTAACAATATTCATGTTAATGGCCCATTATATAACTAGCCACAGAGTCGAAGATACATATTCTGTCTATTGCTTTGGCTTCATTTCCGGCAATTTCAGCATTTTTTATAGACGTTCTCAGATTAAGGAACGCCACCATCCTCCCAACAATTCAATATATACCAGGCTTAAGCTCGCCATCTGCGTTAGATTTGCAGCATTATTCAAATTTTCGCTGTAATTCATGATGTTTTCAATGATGTCGCAGAAGTCTTTTGTCTTTTCGGTCTTTCTGTTGTTCTCGCTGCACATCGAAACCGCGTTCTCAAAACCCCAGATTGAGTCACGAATGATACAACTTTATAAACGCTTTAAGCACACAAGTCCGATTAGGGTCTATCTCACAGGAATTATTTTCATACACTTCATGACTTTTAATATCACTTTGTAGCTCCAATGACTAGAATGGATCCAGCATATGGATGCAGCCTCTATTAATGCAATTAACCGGTCTTAATAGCCGCTTAATAATTTAAAGAAGCATTTCTAATTGCATTATATTCACTTTATATGAAGTTGAAGACTGACACATGATTCACATCTTGCCAAAAAACTTCCCAGATGAACAGAGACAAGTTTTCCCGAACGAGCACATTTACACATTTTGCAGAACTTTAGATAGAGTCCAGGCAACATTTGTAAGCAGGTATCTAACATTATAGATTGTAAACAACCAATGCGAACATCTATTAGCAATTGTCTCTCTATTTGGAGAAAGGAATTATCAGCATTCGTAAATATTTAGAAATTCTAGTGAGTCACAAGCACTATATCATTTTGCATCTATTTTCAAAGCTAAGAGAAAACAGAATTTTTATAAATATGTATGCTTATGAATTATGTCTTTGCAAACTTCGACAGCTTCATTCAACTCGATCTGCTATATTATGGCGTAAAATTAGAATCAATCGATGAGTCGTAAGTCTCAACAACCTTTCACATTGAAATTTTAGCACTCGTGAAAGAACATTAATTTATGACTGTTCAGATTCGGTATGCAAATTGACAAGATCGATAGATCGTTAAACTCAAGATTTATCAATTGGCATCGCACATTTATATTTAAGTTTATCACAGTTAGCTTGGCAAGGCCAAGAAACAAAGCCAATTTGTTTAGATCTTTCGGCCGCCTTGCCAGAGAGTATAAGTTATTACACATAAATACTAATCGGACGGACTGAAACAATTTTATAATTGTAGCTCGTTGCGGTTTTCGAGTGTGAAAGAAAACTGGACACACAAATATTTTTCTATCACCACAAAAATCGAAAACTAGCCCTATATTTTGTTTATTGACAAAGACCTGGCTGAATATATATAGCTGGTGTTATTTTTGTTTTAAACAAAGAAAATAAATAAATGAAAACAGTTTGGAACTTTTCGCGGAATCATAATTGTATAGAGCTCAATTGAATTAAGGGAATTTTATATATGCATATATATATATTTGAATAATAAATGCTTTTTAAAATAAAGTTTCAATTTCAACTACTGCTTTAATTTCTCATACCTTTCCATGCTTAAAGCATCAAATTCAATATAAACATATCTTGTGGTTCTTAAGTTCTCTGTGAATTGATTCAAGCGGCAGCCGCCAGGTGGCGCCACGCCGTGGGTGTTATGCCAGGTGAACGGCCAGTGCGAATGATTCGCAATCTTACGATTTCATTGAAGACTTTGCCCATAAATCAATTTATTAAGTATATACTCGTATAAGCAGAAAACAAATAGCGGCATGCAGCTCACATAAATATTAGTGGAATTCTTTCGCGTGGGCGCCAATTTTCCATTCATGCCAAGCCAAATGAAAATGCATTGAATTCTACAAAAACAAGAAAAAATCAGCTACCCTGGACACGCCGAAGATTTGATACCCTTGTACGTGTGTTAAATATGCCTCATATCCGACCGATTTTTCCTATAGGAGCCAAATTATATAGGAGGAAAATGTGGATACAATTTGGCAACGAGCAACAGAAATAAATAGTTATAGTACTTCGATGTTATGAATATTTTGCTCAGAACTAAGAAGCATAAAAAACATTCTTTACAAGAAATAACTATTGAACAATTAATTCTGTTGGTTTTCCGATGTTAAATAAATAACACATTTAGTTGCAGTACTCGCAGTTATGCGTTGCACATTTTCCTGCACATTTAATGCGAGTCTATAAGAAAGTATTTTATGGCAGATCTGGAAGCAATGAGAGGAGCTAGATTTGATACGGCTTTAGCTTAATATATGTTATATACTGTACATAAAGCGAGCAATCTGCGATGCATCCATGAGCTGCATTCGATGCATTTGCTGGCATTTAAGCAATATAATTGTAATATTTTACAGAGTATTCATTTAAACATTTCATAAAAAATACGAATCGGTATAATCTGTATGTTCATAGATTTTTAGATAAATAATATTGCTGACGGGTATAACTGACTGCGGAATGCTCTAAGAACTGTTTAATCACAGATCAAATGAGTTCATTTGATGACTGGCATATTGACTCTAAAACTGTGGCCTAGAGCAGTGGCTCTTAAACTGTGACAAATTGATATCTTCCAGCTTTAATACAGGGACAAACGGACAGACAGCAAGTCTGCGAAATAACAAATATACGAATATAACCTTTTTACTTGGCAAACAGGGTATGAACAGGTATCCATTTGCATTGCTAAAAACTGAAATTAATCAAAGTTTAATCTGCGAAATGATCCATCGACACCAAAGATGCTGTTGTAGTCGTAACGCTGTCCGGCGGGTCTCAGCTTGTCATCTACGCCGTAGTCTGCCTCCGCCCTTAGGTATTCGCGCTGCTCCTGAAAGGTCGCCCACATGAGCTGCTTGAGCTCCTCAATGGTGCCCTGCTCACCACCCAGATGTGTGGGCAAATACCTTTGCGGTATGTGTGAATACAGCGATTCCAGATTGCTGCCGTGCACCGAGATCTTTTGGAGAGAGGTGGGCCGTATGTGAGAGAAGAGCTTTATCTGGATGGAATACGTACGCGTCCCTGTTGCTTGGCGGGCAGTATCGATCGCATCATGTTGAAGCCCACCTCGAAGGCAGCATTGGTGTTTATCATGTGCCTGCCCTTGTCCCGCACGGGCATCGCGTCCTCTGCGAAGACGGACATCTTCTGGAGTGTGCTCGGCGTCATCTGCATCAGGTGGGCCGGCGTATAGCCGCTAAAGTCCAGTATCATCAGCCAGCCATGGACTATGGCATAGTCATCGAATTGCAGACTCAACGCGCTCAAAGCATGCGACACGCTCATAATCTCCTCAAAGCTAAAGCTGTCCGGCGCATAGCAGCCGGGCCGCACATAGATGAGGCGGGGTCCATCATCGTGCAGGGGGCGCGGCAAACGCAGCCCCACGCTGCGGGCAAGCGAAGGGTTAGAGCAGCTCCCGAAATGCGCCCATGTGGAACTGGGCCATCGACTCACCCCAGGCGCAGCAGCTCGTGGATACGTTCGCTGTCCACGTCGCGAATGGTGTAAAAGTCGGGAAACTGTGTGCGCAGTGTGTAGTACCTGTCCAGCTTGGACTTGGCCTTCTCCAGGCTGAATTTGCAGCCGCGCAGGAAGGCCACCAGGAACTGATCATCGCGCCGGGCGCGCATATGCGGCTGCTGTTCGATCCAGGTGCGCAGTGCCGCGATATCCGCATCCAGGCGCTCTGGCACCTCGTTCAGCTCCTCAATGGCTGTACGTTGCAGGCTCGCCGACAGGGGGCGTATTTGTGGCATGCTGTTCAACTTAATGGTTCGATGTCGGCGACGACACTAAATCGGGCTGCAGCATCGATAACTCGATAACTATCTGAGCTGATAACCGAGCCAATTGCAAACGATAAGATTAACTAACTTAGTTTATAGCTACGTGTAATTGAACTATGCACTTTATGGTGGGGGGGCTGTTAATGCCCATTCATTGCCATATAACTGATTTGCCTAAGCTTCTTATAGCTTTATCTGATAATAAACTAGAAACTTTGCAAGGCCTTTTGATTATGCGTCTAAAAATACACATTCATTTTGGAATTTTTATGACTTGATCAAAACAACGAGATAAGTCCACATAACATAGCCAAAATATACCCTGTGAGAACTCTTTCAACCTTGAAGGTTGCTTCGAACCATATGCATGTTGGATCAAAATGTAGAACGAACATATCTATAGCATCTATCCATATGTTGACATCTACTTACCCAACAATTCAAACACAAGAGCATGTAATTTGTATTGGACCTTTGTGTGCTCACATCACTGAAAGAGAGAGCGAAATAAAAAGCAGGTTAGAGTCGGATATGTAACAAGAGAAAAGAATAAAATTATTAAGAGAGAGAGAGAGAGGGAGAGTAAGAGAGCTTGAGAGAGAGAGAAAGAGAGAGACAGAGAGAGAGAGAGAGGGAGACATATAGAGGGAGAGGGACAGATAGTACAAAACAGAAATTAAAATGCGAGTATGAAAGGATTTGCAACACAATTTGCTATCATGAGAATCGCATAGAAGGGCAATATTTAAAAATACGCTTTTTAAACTAAAGTTGTTTACCGTTTTCTTCAGAGCATAAGCACATACGCACATACGTACATACCTACACACATTCATGCATACATAACTTGAATTAAATGTGATGTACTATTATTGATCCTCAATCAGTCAGTACATACAGTTCTTAAATTATATTTTATCCATTCTGGAGTCAAGAGAAAAGTTTTCTATCAATTTACAGAGATGGGTTTTAAACAGACTTCAAAGTTAACTTTATTATTGATATATATGTATGCTTATGGTGTATGTGTGTGTCTGTGTGTGTGCGCGTATGCGGGCATGATGCAGTACATTTAATTGTGTAGCTTTCATTTAACATGTTTTCAAAGTTTCCTCTTCTTTTTTTTTTTCGTTTTGCAAATTATGCTATACACAAACTTTCATGTTTCTGTTATCTTAATGCTTTTGTTTGTTGTTTGGCCACGGTAATTGCTGTACTTGTTGTTGTTGTTGTTTTGGCAGTTATCTGCGTACATGTCACACTCACAGCAAAAAAAACCAAATAACAAAAAAAACAGCGACAGCTACACTCACATACAGGTAACACATACATGGATACACACAAAGGTACGAATATAATTCGATTGTGCTGTGGCAGACATATTGGCACCAGCGCGAACAACAACAGCTAAGGCAGGCGACAAAAAGCAAAGTGCAAAGCATCAACGCACACATGTGCATGTGTGTATATGTATATGTGTGTCTGTAAATACATATGTACATAATAAAAGGCAATGCTTTTGAAGACATCTCTTTCTATGCTGTCAATTCCATTTCGTCTTTTTTTTTTTTTTTTGCTTCTGCGCCTCCGCAGCCCGCACCCACGTCAAAGGCTATCAATTTTAATGCACGTCGCCTTTTGTGCCAAAAAACGAGCGAAATGACAACAGCAAGAACAACAAAAACGACAACAACAACAACAACAACAAGCAAACAAGTAAACGAAAAGCATATGACAAGACTCGCTGCGACGCGACGCTGCAGCTGCAGTCGACGTTTGAACGGCGATGCTTTAGATGCGTTAGAATACGTTGCATATATGTATGTATGTATGCATGTATGTTCATATGTATACAGAACCTGCTCAGCCGTATTGCAATTGACCTTCAACACAGTTTGTTAATACACGCATAGTATTCATACACATCTGCATATGTATGTTGCATTATTTAAGTAAAGCTTGCAGTTAAAAATATATGAAATGGAATATGTATGTATTTATTATACTAACTTTTTATGGATATATTTATACAATTTTGTAAAACTCTTTTAAAAAATTATCTGCTATCCAAGCATATAGAAATCCATATTCGCCTCCGTATACATCAACGACTTCAAAGGGGTTCTGTCTATTCTGTAAACATATATACATATGTATCTATGTACATACATATATATGCCCAGCAAGACATATTTTAAAGGCCCTCAGCGCATTTTGATGCCACTTTTGACATTTTGCAGCCTGAATGGAAAAGTTTCCAAAAAAGAAACGAGACTAAAAAAAAAAATAAATATAAATACAAAACATGTTCAAGTGACACGCAAGTGCTCGAATACAACAGTTCCCCACAAACACACACAAAGCACATTCCCGTATTCTACATACTCGTAAGTATGTACGTAAGCACAAATGTCTATTCTATACACTTGTTTTCTGTGTGCTTCTTTCCTTTTTAGGCCCCTTTGCAGATGGTCTTGATAATATAATGAATCTCACTTAAGTTCTCTTACGGCTTATACCATTTTATCAAATTTGTGGGTTAGGGTATTTGGTTTTCGGCTTTGTAAACCTTCTCTTATTCTTACATTCCATTTGAAATTTGTTTTTGTATACATCTGTATGTATTTCGGTGTTTGCCCATTTGGCGCTGTAAACATGCCACCAACAAATTTGGTATTGTAAACAAATTTCAAACTCTGAAACTTATATGCAACTATAGGCAGAGTGTTGAAAGTACTAACCATACAAACATCCATTTCCATCTATACAGAATGGGTCAAATCATAGGCACTTCAGCCGATGACGTTTCTCTTCTGTATAATCATGTGCTCAATAAATATCTTATACCCCCATAGAGGGTATTATAATTTGAAGATGATATCAGAAGCGCATAGAAGACCATCCATTAGTATATAGATACATATCTGCCTATATGTTGACATCAGTAATAGATAGTATAAGTTGAGAGCCGCGTGCCTGGAGGAGACCCTTAACATTGTTTATATCGGGCATAGCCCGCTGATTCCATTGATTTCGTGCATTGAATTGAATATAAAGCTGATTTAATATAAAGCTCCTTTTGTTGGGGCTGGTTAAGGTATCGCACATTTCAAAGTATTGCATATGTTCTTATATAAAACTTTTACAATTTTCAATAGCTCGTGGGTCGTATAAGCATTTTGTCTGTTTTCAACGAGAAGAAGCCATCCCAATGTATGCCATCACTATCTTCCAGCTTAAAATTATAGTACTTGCCCTCAGCTTTACCAAAGGTGATTAGTTTGTATTGATCTACCTCGCCAGCGATGGCAAATTGTTCATATCTGTAGTATTTGATGATACCATCAAATCCTTTCATATGTACATATGTACAGCTCATGGGGTCGGGCGCTCGTCAAGCGATGAATCTTCTCAAGTCCTAAAAGGAAGTCATTATCAAAGTTACCAAAGCCGGCATGGTATGTGCCATTGATTCGCTCCTGGATAACCGTCCACCCAGGACCTGCTGTCACACTATCAAAAATTACATTGAACGGATCTTCTTGATCCGGTTTAATCTTATCAATAACCGGAGCAGCTTCAAAGGGAGTGCATTCACCGTAAATGGGCTTCTCTTTGTAGCTTTTTAATTTCTTGGCACAAATGTTGATTTCATTTTTGATTTCGGATATTTGTTGGTCCTTTTCATCAATTGACAGCTGCTCTTCAAGGTCCTGGATTTTCAACTCATTAGCAGAATCAGAATGTGCGGCTTGTAAATGTAACAAATGTTAACCAAAGTGGAATCGGGCTACTACACTCGAATAATTCAGTTAATTAATTAACTAATTAACTTTTTATCTACAGCTAAGATTTAAAAAAAAAAAAAAACGAAATATTGTTGATGTGCGATCAAGAAGAAAGAAGCTGTTTTTGTAAAAATATTCTGAAAATGAAATGTTCATGTGCGACCAGAAATATACTCAGATAATGTTTTAAATTTACTTCTTTAAAATAAAAATAAATACATTTATTTCTAAGCTTTTTTATGTATATTTAACCAATATATTATTTTCCACCAGACAACATTTTAATAAATAAAAATATAAGAAACTAATTCGTATTATTCTGTTTTATGTTCGTCAATGCTTGGGACGCTTTGGGGAAGACCTTTTTGACGCTAGACCACGACGTATTATTATTAAATATATATTTAAACTTTTCTTTTGAATATATTTATTTTAAATAATATCTATACAGTTTTGCTTAGTATAGTTCACAAGAAAATAAATTTGTTTGTCGTGCCACACATCATTTTTAAAATTAAAATCTGAACAAGTTGTTCCCTGGTGTGGTTCGGGTTCTGGCACGCGAGATCAACGTTTACGATGAGGTAAGAATTTATTTTTGAGCAGACGAGCTGTGGGAACAGATCACTTCGTGTGTATGTGCATAAATATATACTCATTAAGATGTCTTTCTGCTTGTCACTTAAGTATTTGTCTTCTGTGACAGGTAAATATTGGACGGGTTTGAATTGTTTTAATTATTTAGTGAGTGGAATTGCTATTCTAATCGGCTAACTTGCACATATATATATCTGTTTGATAATGAAATCATATCTTAAGGCAAACGATTCAACTTGCAGATACAGTCATTTAATGTTAAGAGCCCTAAAAAGTTCACACCATCATTCATAATGTTTTTTAAATTTGCCCGTTTGCTTCTCAGCATTTAAATTACCATCAGCGCGAACTTTAAAATAAGTTTACAAATCTTGTTTTGGGCCAGCGTAAACGTGCTCATCATTAGCCTTGTTGTCGCCGGAAGTTTGGACAATGGTGAGTATTTTCAGTAAATTTCAAATATGTAACAATATAACTGCATAATTGGAGTTATTAAAGCAAAGCACAGAAATATTACCAAAAGTTGGAAAATGTTGCTTGCAAAACGAGAATGAGACCAAATCCTAAGTGTAAAGTAATAAGATAAAATTA